ATGTAAACGAATGATAAATAGTAATAATTATCTTAAATTATTATATATTATAAAGATTATACGTTAAAACTATATGTTAATTATTATTATTATGTTAATTATTATTATTATGTTAAACAATTGTTCAGTATTAGATGAAAATTGTTAATAAAATTGAGACAAGACAAGATTTAAGTTTCCGAAAATTTTTAGTGCTAATACAATATTTTTACGAATATTGTCTTGTCTTGAGTCTTTTGCAATCCTAATTTGTCTGAAGTTTCAGTTAATTTTTTTTTTTTACAGTGCGATTCTTGATCGGCCAATCCTTATGTTTATTTCGATACCTCTCATTGTCATTCGATATTTCATATTTCATATTTGATGCTTTATATTTATTTTGTTCTGCGCTGTTGAAATTTTATTGTCATCTAAATTATATACCGTATCCGATTAAATAATGTTTAGAAAGTAAGAAGTTTCTAGGATAAAATAGGAAAACATGGTAAAGAGAAAAAGAAAATGAAGAAATAAAATTATTAAAATTCAAATTTTGTTGCAAAATTAGTAAAATATCGAGATCTCGTTATAATTTGCTTTATGCTCTTATTTGATGTAACTAGAGCCGTTATCAAGTTTGCGCGACTAATCGATGAAAATTGACCAAAGTGCGTCTCCGTCAACTACATCGAGCTAATGGCCTTAATGACTTAATGACGCGTCGTCTTCCTTTATATCATTCTGTTAATCCGCTGCCTTTTAACGAGGATAATAATTATCAGCGATAAATTTCACGACGCTGATTTAATGTTCAATGCATTCATTACTGGACAAACGAGTAATGTATGTAATGAAGATAATAGTATAAATACAAGAGACAGAATTTTCCTATTTAATTATCATATGGCTTTATGTCTGACATTATCTCTGACGCGAAATGGTCGTTAGATTGTCTTAACTAATATTCATGTATTTGTGCAATAGTAATCAACTGAAATTGTCGGAATATATATTTTTTCCAATAATATATTGTAATAATAATAATATATTGTTTCCAAACAAAAAATAATATCTAACAGGAAAATATATAATAATATTTTCGAGATTATAAATAATATAGTTAGACAAAAATATATTTCGATTTGATCTGATCAATCTTTATAGAACGATATCTGATAATATTTACACATTGATCGAAAAAAGAACGAGAGAAAAAAGGACAGAATACGGATATTTTATTTACAAATCAAGTATATACGAGAGCATATACGAGGAGTATGTTTATATTTTTGCGACATCGCAGAAAAAAAAACGGCGATGAAGAAAGTCGCTTCTCCTGCATTAAACGTGCTTTATTAAAATGTAATAATCATTTATTGCTTGTCTTTTGCGCGACGAAAGCTTATCATTAAGCGGTCAGTGCTAGATTGCCGCTGTAATTATCAGATGACATCGGATGACAAGCGGGTGAACCGCCTTTAAGTCATGAATACTTAAATACGAATCGAATGAACACACGCGGCCGCGCTTTCTACCCGGGCAACTTTGTACATGAAGCGCAGCTTGTCACTTGCATCACTTGGCGCAAAATATCCCAGTTGGCGCGCGAGCAATTTTAATACATCTACAATCACACCGTATGTGTTGGCCTCATTGCCATTTTCCTTCCGGCGATCTTTCGTATCTGTCGATGATGACCGCGCGCAATTAAAAAAGACGTGACAAGCAAGTCGAATGGCACTTTAGCAGTTTCGTTATAAAAGCGATGCAATTCGTATTTGAACGACTCACTTTGCCTACAACTCACACTTAATTAATTGCGCATGGTCGCGTCTGATCTAGAAGCGACCAATCGACACGGAGAGACTTCCATTGACCTGCAGGATTGCATCGTCTACGGCGATTATCGAGTCTTATTCGGCTGTCGCGATTTATATGGAAAGCTCTGTTCTTAAACGCTATAATTATCACGACTTGAACGGTGTTGAGATCCGCGCTAAAAGATGCGAGATTTAAGCGAGAAAGCTGCGCGTGTCGTTGAAAGATTATTATTAATTTATGACTGCGTGAATTTTCTGAAATATTCTTGACGTATTGTGTTTCTTGACGTATTGTCCTTTCTAATTTAGTCAGTTGCTATTACAATCTAGCTTTCTATGTTTAGGCTTTTTCCGTACCGATCTGATAATTTATTTCTACATATTTCTCAAGAGAGAGACTGAATCAAATTTATCTAAAACGTTCTGTTATTAATCTCACAACACCTTTCTAATTGCACGAAATAGGCTCTAGTTTGATAATTTTTTACAATCACATTACTCGTTCTGTCGGAATCAATTCGATTT